AAAATTAATATCAAACACAGAGGCAAACGATAAAGAATCAAACCGACCTTTTTTTTTTTTTTTTTTTTTGCAATGATGGAAATTTTGAAACATGGACAATTTTTCTCCAGGATAATTTTTTGTGAAACGAAGAGAGAAAGCGACTAGGGTTTATCGAGAAACATCTAATGGTTATCGGAAGCTGGAAAGGCCAAAACAAAAATAAAAAATAAAAAAGAGAAAAAGGAAAGCAACACACTCTACAAAACACTACGAAACATTGCACGCTCTATTTCTATTTCCACCACACTAGCAACTCATTTGCTAACCTTGGCTTACTTTTATTATTATTTTTTTTAACAAACGATATTATCTACACTAATGAGATGAAGAAGTGAGCTAGCCTTACAATAGGCTAGTAATAATGTGGTTCAAATTCGCATTTGGCGAAAATCGAACCGTGTACCTCTCACTTATCAGTGAAAAAAAATACTACTAGACCGTATTATTAAGTAGCACCAAGTTGTAGTACTACGACCTCCCACTTAATTTTTGTTATATTACAACATAGATAGAAAAAAAGAAGAAGTTTGGGATCCCCCAAGATTGGGCTCTCTAGACGGTCGCCTTATCCGACTAACTTCAAGATTGGTCAAGCATTCTAGTTGTACACAACTGCATGAACCATTTATAACTTTTAGCTGTCTATCTTTAGTGTCATTTAGAGTAATAAATTCTTCAATCCCTACGAGTGTCTTTCGATTTGGAAATTATTTAGTCACTTATGTATATAGAATAAACCGATAATTATGAAAATAAGTAGTTTTCTAATAATGAAATTGTCAATTTTTTTTTCTATATATGAATAACTAAACAATATTCAAATTGAATAAATTTGTGTAGAGTTGAAATTTTTTATGATGATAAGGATACTGCATAGTTCCAATTACGAAGTTTGTATCGATGTAAATATCTCACATATTATCGAGGTATGAGCACTTTCTTCCCCCTGGGAAGGAGGAAGTATTGTATCCATGAGAAATGTTAACGAGACTCTCTTCAAGTGGAACTTTTTATAGATTCTTGTCATCTCGTAGTTTAACGTCGATCATGTACCAACATTATCTAAAAACATAAGGTAACGGAGAGTCTATAAGAAGTTTCACTTTTAAAAGAGTTTCGTTAGCATTTCTCTTCTATCCGTAAGCATGTCTAATCTCGTTGTAATGATGTGCCAGCTGCTAACATGTTTCAGAGGTACTGAGGTACTAATGATGTTTAAACTTTAAATTACGTGATTAGACTAATTGAAGGAAGGAAACAATGATTATATCCAAACCCAAATGTTTCCCATCTCCATAACACCTTTCTGGCAAGAATGGAGTTTCTGCATCTCCTTCATTTCAAAATTATTGAAATCGATAAGGAATTGAAGAAAAAAGAAAAAAAGGATAAAAAAGAAAGTTAGGCCATTGGATTCTTTAATTCTGTAAACACACGGTGGATAATCATCTATTGAGCACCATCAATCAGTCGGCGGTCGAGAAGATAAAAGACATATTCCCATATAGGTAAGCCAGCTGTGTTCTTACTTCCATGTAATCCAAATAATTTGGGGTCATTTTAATGAAATATTTGTGGTTCCAATCTCCAATCATTGAGAGGACTTTGGACCAGGGTACTTGATTACGTAACATGTCGACTATTTAATGTTGACAAATATCTATAAGTCATTACTATTGATAATGAAAATTTATGTACGTAAAAAATAAATGATAAATTTATTAATGTCTGATTGTATGATCAGACAAGACACGTGGTTAAGCCTACTAAAGCAAGATATTATATATAGCCAACTATGTTCTTTACGAGTCATGGTTTCAACATGATCAATGTTTCCAGTTCCCATTTCTAATTATTTAAAGAATATTAAGATAGGCTGCCTAATTACGTAACATATTTTGCAAACTCAATTGACAAACTATTGACTACAAACTTGTCATCTATAATTAATACCCTTGATACTCCAAATACATAGTTATCGATATGCTAGCTTGCCATTGAAGGCCTAAGTGAAAAGTAAATAATGACGCAATAACATCTCATTAGTTGTTTAAATACATAGTTATCGATATGCTAGTTTGCCATTGAAGGCCTAAGTGAAAAGTAAATAATGACGCAATAACATCTTATTAGTTGTTTGGATAATATACGCGGTGAGCTTTGTGTAGACCATGAATTTCGTTGGCCATCATCCTTCAAAATTACAAGAGAGTGTATTTTTGTTTGTCATGCTCACCAAAATTATCGTTAGATTATTTTAAGTTTAAAGATTTGTATAACAAATAGAGTAAATCATACCCATGCAATGGTAATCAATAGGGTGAAGAAGTTGATCATCACTTTAGAATGATAAACATTACCACTACTTTAGGACGATGAACATCATCATCACTTTTGGCCGATGAACAAAGATAGTTGCATTACAAGATGATCCTAGTGGGATCGAAATCAAAGTTTTAACTTGCCGTGTCACAATTCCAGCTGGCGAATCTCCAAAAGTGCATGAATTATTGGTTAATTTTTGAGGTATATAAGAATCTACAGTGCCCTCAAATGGGCTGCTAGAGCGTGACAACTCTTTACTAATTATTCTCATAAGAAATTGATGGATCAAAAGTTTACACAATTTGTGTAACGTTTACTCAGTCAAAGTGGGCTCATACACCACCAAATGTCTTCCATGATTTTCTTAGCCCTTTGTGGGTCAGGACAGTGGTCACTGTATCTAAAGTGTGCTCAATGTCGGTCAGAATATTCAGATTTCTTGGATATTTCTAAGAGAGATGTTAAAAAATAAAATAATGCTAAGCCGATTAAATTTTATTTAATAAAATTTATAAATTAAATAATATGTCAACAATGAAAAATAAACATATTAGTTGATATTTAATTAATAATCTAATTATGTGAAATCACATTATTGGTACGCAAATTTTGTTTAAATAATTTAATCTCTCTAGCATGATTCTAAAAGATATCAAATGTTAATTTGATAACTAACAACGTGTTAACGTCAGTTTTTTCTTCCTTAACCCATTAATCTATTTTTAAAAAGAAATCAATTAAAATTAATTTTCAAGATTTATAACTAATGTATATAATAAAATAATTAAAAAATAGTTGACAACATTTTTTTCATGTGAAATTTGGCAGTAAAAAATTCATATGTCAAATCACTTAGGATTGATACATCGGTTGGAACTTTTTCATACTTTCAAATTTGATTGCATCCATTTAAAATCTAACATCTTCTTTGGAGATGGTTTTATGTCTAGCTAAAAAAAAAAAAATTACCTTGTATATCGTATCATTAGGGTTTTTTTTTCATTAATTAATTTATTTTAATTCATTTCAAAAATCAAGAAAATTATTTTGCTTGCAGTTAAGCTTATATTTCAATATTCGTTTTGATAATTTGATTGAACGAGTGCAGAGTCTGCAGACTGCAGTAGGCATGTACAAAAGTGCGGCTATTTTGGACTGAGTTTGGTATGGACAGAAACGGCATGTCATTTAGTATTGGTTTTCGTTTTGAACATGAATACTCTACCAAATTGGCAACTTCATACAAATTTAAAGGACAAATAAATAAATATGTCAAAAAAAAATTATTTGGTTCAGTACAGCAATCGTACCATTACTGATTGATACCACTTTTTGACATGTAACCAGCTTGCTGTGATGGGTAATTCGGTAATGGTACAATAAATAGTTTTGCAGCTGATGAGGTTGGTTGGGGGCACTTGAACCGGTGAAAAAAACCCAACCAAGAACGAAACCGGTTCAAATCATAATTGACTTTGTTGGTAAAACAACCATAATATTAAAAAACCTAACAGAATCGATTATGGTTTGATTCAGTTTGGTTCTCAGTTTTGACACTTAAAAAAACCAAACAGACTGGTTATTAAGAACATGTAATCATTGACCTGCTTTTCAATCACAAACCTATGTTTGAAATTTGATGGTTATGCATGGTTAAGGAGGTGACCTATCTGAACCGAACCGTTTCCATTCTTAATGTTGGTGATGTGCAACTACTGGTCTCAAGAGTTTAATTTGCAGAAAAAAGCGAGTGAAAAATGCTTATCAAGCTTACAGTTCACTATCATGAGCGTCATTCATGACATAGAACCCATTTCCCCGTTTAACAACCATCGGACCATCCCCTTTTCTACCTTTCGTTTTCTCCTTTGCGGCCAACAACCCCTTTTGATTGTTATCTCAGTTTATCTTCATCTGTTCGGTCTGCCATGCTCCATTACTGTTTGGACTTCCATCCTTTCCTCAGCAGTATTTTGGTTCAATAACTTTTGGATCCGTGTTGGGTTTTTAGCCACACAATTTCAATACAAAATCTCAAGATTTTGCCAAGCAAGCATGGATCAATACAAAGAAAGTTTCTGGCGACTTTCCCGTCAAAAGGATAACTAATAGGGTTACGTTTTGCGCTCTCAGATTTGAGAACAATTGCAATATTTATACAAAATCTTTAAAATATTTCAATCTCATACATAAACTTATATTTTAGTTGTAATTTCATACATAGGTTAAAAAATATGTTAAGTTAGCCGTCATGTGATGATGTGATAACCGTGGATTCCACATTTGTGTTGACGTGACTGCCAATTTATGCCAGCTGGCCAAACAACTAATAAAATATATTTGACTATCAAAAATATTAGTTGTTTAGTCATATGCCACAAGTTGGCAGCCACGTCAATCTCAAGTTTGTATATGAGATTAAAATGTTTTAAAGATGTATGAGGTTGCGATTCCAGCTAAACCTAGGAGTGCAAAACGTAAGTTACCCAAACAAATATTAGGGACGCATTTCAAAAATACACCAATGCCTAACCAAAATCACAGGGATCAGGAATGCAGTAGCTGCTCATTCATATATAGAGGGTTGCAAACAAAACCGAACTACAGGTTGAAGTCATCATCAGAGAGGTACATGACAGAAACTTGATCGTGTTTTTATCATTAGCCAAGGAAACAATAACGTCGATACATCGGAACCGATTTAAGATTGCAATTGCAGTCCTACTGAACTGAAAACCGGTCTAGAGATGCTGCTGTGGTGTTAAACTTCATTCTAGTGAGCACATGTACGGAAGACATAAAAAATCTATTAAGCATAAATTGTGTTATAACAGAAGAAACCCTCTGCCTCCCGGTGGCTTAAGCACTGACTATGATAAAAAAATAATGAGCCTCTGGGCATGGGGGACTATCATACTGAATTCAATCATATTGCGGACTGCATTACACAGAAGCTCATAAACGCTTTGTTTAATGGGGAAAATGTCAAACCTCATGCCCTTTGTCCATATGAGTTTTCAAGTACTCGAACTCCTGGTCCATATATCAAACGACATCGCTCATTAAATGAACCAACAAGCTTAGAGACCACCTCCTTGAAGAATACCGATGCCACCTGGGACAAGAATCATTGCCACATCACAAATATTAATCGAGTTCATCATGATTTAAATTCCCATCTTCAAACTTTAGACAATGAAGAATTCAGGATAGTTTATGTGGTTACTGAATAACTGCCACGGAAGAAAGTCTAATACTGAATAAAGAACCTTACCTGTCGGTAAAGTGGCGACTGGAATTTAAAATCCACCAAGAAATAAAGGCTGCAAGATCCTGGAACTGGCCCCGGATTGAATTCCCAGATGTTTATGAGATGATCGAAAAGGGAACTATTTGATACAGTTGACTGGAATTAAAACAGAAATAGAGACTGTTAAAAACCGAACTTTCAAAAATAAAACCAAAGCAAAACTAACAAAGCAAAGAAACAAATTCAGGGTATATTCAGTAAGAACCACTTAAAATAGTAGTTTGAAAAATCACATCAACAAACGATACCAAGATATTAGTGAAAAACTAAATTAGCCATCCAACGACTTACAAAAGTGACAGACTGACAGTGCTGAGGTTTTTCTTTTCATCCATCAACAGTGATCTATTGTTGCTCTTGCTTGTCATGTTTAAGCCAAACGCACAAACATAATTTTAGGAAGAATTCAATCAAAATTTTGTATCCCAATAAGCATGCAAAATCTGGTACATGCCATGCCAATCCTAAGCACACCATCAACTTCAAAACTCCAAGTGTGTGATTTCAGCAGGTACATTGGTCAGTTTCTCTCACACTCACTACTACAAAAACCCACAATGTCTCCAAGCTCCAAAGTGTATAGCAACATAACACAAATATTTTGTTTTTGTTTTTGAGGATAGAGTAACAAGTTACAAAATAACTTTTTGATGAATTATAGTATAAACTAACATCATCTCCCAATGTTCTAAAACGCAAGTGAAACTCCTTCAACATAATCCAAAAAAACCCTCGGAAACCTCAGTGAAACCTAATGTCTGTGACGCAAAGGCAGCTAAAAACAAAACAGTGTTCAGGTATTCTCTGGTAGCTCACATATAAGTCTCAGGTATTTTGTTAACAGAGTTAAGAAAATCAGAGTATATCACCAGGGAACTACTACAATATTATTGATCAACTATCAGCGAGCAGAAAAGTTAACAAATGGATGGTAATAGAAACATACAGAAAGAATCATGGCAAGCTTGAAGAAAAATGATTACCTTTATACGCTTTGGTCTCTCTAATTCGACATGGGAAGTGTAACTTTCAACAAGAAATTTAAACCCAATCTCGAGCTCAGCATCAAATGATCCATCCGGATAGGCTTTAATTATGTCAGACCGCTGACACCAGGGAACGAAACCATGATACAAGTCTACCGCAGCAACCACATTGTATAACTGCTCCGGAGAATACCTAGATTCCAAAAATGCATCAGCCCATGTCTATCTCACATAGCAATCAAATGAGGGATACATCAAAACGATACAAAAATGAAATTCGGCATTCAAGACGAAGTCTTGCATGGCTGGTAATCAATTGGGTCATTAATTTATACAATGTCAAATAGCATAATGCCAGAATACATATCAAGAGCTCCATTGCCATTGAACTAAACAGAAATTCTAAATACAAGTAAAATCGTATAAAAGCAGCTAACATAGGGGATGATCAGAAAATCAGAAAATTATGAAATTGAAGAAAAATTACCCCATTACGCGCCTCTCCTCATAAACTTTGGATAACACACCGCCTTCTTCGCCGTCGCCGCAGCCGAGAAATTGCCTCCGTGACCTGTAATTGAAATCCATCTGGGAATCGGTGGTCCATTTGTGGACCGATGATGACGGGGTTTCTATGCCCACAATGCTACTAAAGCATCGAATCGGGTCCAATTTCCGGCTGGACCGGACCAGATGCCTGGGACCGATTCTGCGAGAGAGCAAGGACCCCACCGCCTTCGAGGTCGTACTCGACCAGAACGGCGGCATTGTGAGGTTCTGCGATCGGGAAACCCTAATTGCGATGGAACGCGATCGAATTGACAGGGAGATTGAAAGCCCCAAATGTTTGGAAAGTTTTCTTTTTTTGGTAACAAATGTTTGGAAAGTTTGAGGGACTTGGATCGTCTACCCTCTCATTACGGTGTCTTTCTCGTGCGCTCCTGTTTGTGTGGTCACGGTTAAGCCACGTCAACATTTTATATTACTATTTTTTTTTTTATTATTTTTATAAAAAAATAATATAAAATATTGACATGGTGTAACCGTGATCACACAAAACAGAAGGATACGGAAAATGCACCGAAATGGAAGGGCAGACCATCCAAATCCAAGTTTGAGACGTAAAAGCTGAGGAATTTACGTGAGAGGTATACGATAGTCTCAGAAGCCAAGGGATTAGACTTGACAGTGGACCAAAAATAAGAACGATCCGTATGCCTTTACGGATTTTAGGTTGACGTGTCCATTTTAGTCTATTTTAATTACGGAAGGGGTCGAAGGAGACTGATATAATGTCACAGCCCAGCACTATCAAGTACGGCACGTTTTGTGTTCGGTTTCTGATAGTTGTGAATCGGACGATAGAGATTGAAATGGTTTTTAAGTTTTTTTTGAATCCTAAAATGATGGACTATCATAATGAAACTATCAGTTAGCCTCTTAAAAAAAACATATAAAATATATTTTACATTTCACAATAGAGTTTATGTTTGAACTTAACAATGAATTCAATTAATATGTAAACACAATATTAATAGCAGGATTAAAGAACTTGCATGTTTATCGTTTGTCATATTTTGTGACTCCAAAAAGTAGGTAATCATTCCTACTCCACTCTCAATACAAAACATGGGCAGCTTACGCATGAACTTCCTAATTCCTACCAAAAACGCAGCCTCCATCAAGCCTCCACCAAGTCTTTCAAAAACAAGTACAACAGAGTCACAGACATCACCAATTTCTTACCACGTTTAAACTTTAAGTCCTACTTTTCGCAATTTTGAGTTCACAATTGAATGTCTCACCTCAATTTAAATTACACTACCCATATAATGTTCGAAACCAGAAACCCTAACTATCACCTGTGGAACCCGAAGTAGTTGGAATCATCAACTTTATCGATATCGACAGACGGCTTACAAGGAGGTAGAGTTGGTGGACCGCTAGCGGAGAAAAACTCTCTTAACAGAGAGGTAGAATCAGTCGACCGCTAGCAGAGAAAAACTCTCTTGCACCCCATATATTATCTCAATGGAACCACTCTCTATTAGATATTTATCACGTGATGTCACCAATTTGTATTACTAGCGATTAACAATTCAAAAGATGGCGTCTACCTTGTTTTCATCGCAATCCCAGACTTTCAAGGAACGTAAAATGTAATATGAAAATCAATAAGTTACTAGGATCACAGATATAACAAATATAACTATAATAAACCAATCAAACAATTAAGGGGAAATAAACTTATCTTCCAAAGCGGAGGAAGAAGAATCCATGACGCTAGGGTTTCAAGGAGGAACTTCTACACTCTAGTAGCCGAGAGTCCTTGTGCACATAAATAGGGTTTTGCACTAGAATAGGATAATATTGTGAGTAGGGACCTCTTAATATATATATATATATATATATATGTATATATATATATATACACACACTCTCATCCCTTTAATCCGGCCTATTAACTTATTAAAGGGATATTCCAAATCAATTAGGACTTCATTAGAGTCCTAGATGGTAACGAATTCTTTGTCAACTAATTAAGGTTTTCATGATTAATTGCACTAAATAAGGACTCCTAAACCTAACCAAATAAGGCTCCATAATTTTCTCAACTATTAACTCGGATTGACCAAGTTACCTGTATGTCAAGAAATAGTGAGCACATGTTCTTTGACACTCACAACTTACATTCTCCCACTTGAGTGTCCAAGAACATGATCCTTATTTGTCTAAGTGGTAGGTGATCACCGAGTCCCACAAAATTTGCAACTATACCTTTAACAACTTGTCACTAGTAGTATAAATATTGGATTATAGAAAATAACATGTAATTGCTTCTACATGTTTACTCTATTACCACGAATATCAAATTACGAGCACAATGTTGCTTGACATCATTCGTTAAATTCAGGTTGATAAGCAAAAGATCAACTCCTGACCTAAGCCTTATGCAAGCATGGCTCATATTTTCTATCAATTAAAACATAAAAATAAGAGAAGATGCAAGTACAATATACTCTTACAAAATTATTCTCTTATCAAGATTTATGAATAAAATTTTACTACTAAACCAATTTTCCACTAACACTTCAATCAATAATACAAAAGCAATCTTAAACTCCCACTGATTAAAAGAGTAAAAAATCTCATAAATGCACACATCTCTTAAAAGCTCACACTGATCAAACATTAATCAAGTTTTAAAAGTATAGAAAATTCAACATCAACTACTAATTTTTCTGACTATATCTCTATGTCAGATATTGCGAGGAAGTGAGTGGCTAAAAAGATATACAAAATCATATGGTCAGTTTTATTCATCTAAAATTTGACAGAAACAGAAAACTTTAACATAACGTTTTCTGATTCCAACAAAAACATATAATTCCATAATCATCTTTGGACAAAATTTGATTATATTAGGTTTTCACAGCTAAAACATAAAATACAAGGGCAAACGTATATAGTTTCAACACTTTTGAGCAGATGAAGTTATACAATCTTGTCAATTTCGTGTTTAACCGTTCACTGATTTATAGTTGGACTAAATAAGAAAACACTTTTGAGTAGATTAATTATCCATCAATAATATATAAATCACAAGTTACCAACAAACAAGAATTAATAAGCAAAACACTTTTGAGCAGAATATACTCATTAACCATTATTGAGTTTCTTGCAAGATTAGTTGCATATATAACAAATAAAATATAAACAAGTATGATAATGTATATTTTATCTACCAAAACTATGACCATTAAAAGCATGCAAAATTGATGAGTGTGAAGCCCATAATACATTATTTCTCCCACTTGGGCAAACACTCAAAATTGCAAGTTTAAACACTAGAGAAAATGATTTTCATATAACAAAATATAGGCTATTTGAATTAATAAAGATCAAATACATAGTTTTTTTTAAGTAGGTTAGAATTAAAAAAAAAAAAGGTTTCATAAACAAAAACTTAGCAATGACTACAAATTTTATTTTATTTTAGTGTATGAGAGAAGACTCACATATGTGTTAAAGATTAGGTCATAAATTAAAATGTAACCTAATAAGAGGATCCAAACTCAAAATTTATATTTTAATTCTAAAACAAAGTTGATTAAAACAAACACTTAGATATCTCAATAACATCAATTTTTCAACAATAATTTTAATCCAATTTAGAACTCAGAGAAAATTAAGGCAAAAGATTGGCAAATTTACCTACTCATTCTCGATTCCGCAAGATTAATCATGAAAGTAGTCAAGTTGTGGAGGATCAAACCAAATACAAATTGCATGATTGTTACACCTTTGGGCAGAAACTAATCATGCAAAGAAAATACATGCATAGCTAGCGAAAACATAAAATACACAAAATACATATAGCTTCAACAGTTTTGGCCAGATGAAAATATGTTAGAAGTACTTTATGATTTGCTATAATACTAATTTATAATTGGTAAGTGATTTCTTGAAATTCCCATTGGGACAAAAGTATTCACCATATAAATTAGAATTTTGATTTTTCAAAATAATCCTTTAGAACAATATTAAATAACCGTTTTGTTGGATATTCAATGATTCTCAAAAGATTCAACTAGACACAAAAGTATGTCGTTGTTGACATTGAACAATAGAGTTCTCGAAAGAGAAAACATGGTTATTCAGTTATTCGATAAAGACCAAAATGATCAATTAGTAAACTGATGCCACTTTCCAATTTTGGTCTCAAAAGGCGATGATCATCACATCAAAATTGATGACCAAATAGAACATTGGTTTGAGCAAAATAAACCAATACATCTTTAAATCAAAACTTAATCAGTGTTGCCTAATAAAAGTCATTAGTATTGAGAATTTGCATAAAATAAGGACATATTGAAACAATAAACTTGTCTAAAAATTGGTGCCAATAGATGTGCACAAATCAGTGAAACAATATCCCATAACACAACCAGTTGTTTGAAGTCCCAAAATTCAGCAATACTAAATTATTTGTATATTCACTGAAAACTCAATTCTTGCTAGGTTGTCATGAAAATTTTCAAGTATGAGGCTACTATTTCGCAAAATTTCATGATTATTAAAATTTTATAAGCGAGCCAAAACTGAATTCGAAAATGGAGGTGCTGCAGAAACTGCAGAAAAAGGTTCAGTACAGACCTGAGATTACAAAATCACCAAATATTCATTGTTCATCCGATATGCATGAAAATTTTCAGACATAAAGTAAACATACAAAGCTGTTAATTCCCAAAATTTCATAATTTTTGAGACATTACAAGTGTACTAAAAGAAAATTAGAAATTGGATGTGCTGCAGAAACGGCAAAATTCTACAGTACATACCGGGGACTAAATAAATCACCAGAAATTCAATTTGTCTCCAACATGCATGAGAGTTTCCAGAAATGAAGTAGACATATACATTTATTGTCACCAAAAGTTCCATAATTTTTTCAATCTTATAAGTGGGCTAAAAATAAAATCGAAATGGAATGTGCTGCAGAAGCTGCGTAAATTCTGCAGGACAGTCCCGACATAAAAAAAAAAACACCAATAATTCATTTGCAAACCAATGCTCGTCAAAATTTCCAGATTTAAAATAAATATCTCAATGTATATCATACTAAAATTTCATGAATTTATCAATTACATAAATATATCAAAATAATATTACAAACACACTTAAAAATTTACCATAAATCCATTTCTTGTCCAAAAGACATGAAAATTTTTGCATGTATAGAATTCATTATATAACATAACATGACATAATTTCATCAAAATTGGAGATAGGAAAATTTATCAAATTATTGTTCTGGAACGGTGAATGAAATTTACAAAATCTTCTAATCAGATCACAATAAAATGAGATACATATGCATTGATGAGAATTTGGCTAAAGAATGACCATTCACTATATATTTGCGACACAAAATGCAAATAGGTAACAAATATTCATTCTTTTGGTGATTACTACAAACAAGGCATCCCTTTTCACCATAAAAGAAAAGGATTTAGTTATAAAGACAACTTCGCTTAAAGTCTACATCAGCAAAATATCCAAATTTGGTAACCATATCAAAGTTCAATGCAAAAGCCACACTAGTCCTTTTAATTCATTATTCCAAAAATTATGGACCGAACTACAATATTTAATCATGCAATCAATAAGCCGATGTAGTTAAAATATAAGTTACTATAGGCAAAAAATCTCAACACTACCACTTCAATTCTTCTCTTTA